GAGAGAGAGAGAGAGAGGAGAGAGAGAGAGAGAGAGAGAGAGAGAGAGAGAGAGAGAGAGAGAGAGAGAGAGAGAGAGAGGGAGAGAGAGAGAGAGAGAGAGGAGAGAGAGAGAGAGAGAGGAGGGTTAGAGAGAGAGAGAGAGAGAGAGGGAGAGAGAGAGAGAGAGGAGAGAGAGAGAGAGAGAGAGAGAGGAGAGTGAGAAAGACAGAGAGAGACAGACAGAGGGTTAGAGAGAGGAAGAGAGAGAGAGGGATAGGGTTAGAGAGAGAGAGGGAGAGAGAGAGAGGAGAGGAGAGAGAGAGGGAGAGAGAGGGAGAGGGAGAGAGAGGGGAAAGAGAGAGGGAGAGAGAGACAGAGAGAGAGAGGAGAGAGGAGGAGAGAGAGAGAGAGAGAGGGAGGGAGAGAAAGAAAGAGCGAGATAAGAGAAAGAGAGCAAAAGAGAGTGAGGGGGAGAGAGAAGAGGGAGGAGAAAGAGAAGCAGGAGAGAGAGAAAAGGAGAAGTGAGAGATCGAGAGAAAGTAGAGGGAGAAGGAAGGACTAGTGCTTCAGAAAAGACAAAAGCCAAGAAAAGAAAGATCTGCAAGATGAAGCAAGAAGAAGAGGAAGAGAAGCAAGAGGAGCAAGAGGAGCAAGAGGAAGCAAGAGGAAGCAGGAGGAGCAGGAGGAGCAGGAGGAGCAGGAGGAGCAAGAGAAGGAGCAGCAGGGCTGTACCTGAGACGCAGACGGGCACGGGGGAACCTAGGAGGAGCAGAGCGGGGCACAGCAGGAGCGGCGGGCGGGGGCGAGGCAGGAGCGGCGGGCGGGGGCGAGGCAGGAGCGGCGGGCGGGGGCGAGGCAGGAGCAGTCCGTCGGATGCAGGCGAGTAACGGCACGCGGCGAACCCTCACAGCAGGAGCAGACACAACATCGTCAGGGCTGGACATCACGACATCGTTGGGGTACCACGCTGAAGCTGAAGGCAGGGAGATGTCGTCATCCACCGAGGACATGACCACATCGTTGGGGTACCACGCTGAAACTGCTGCGGGCGGGAACACCGGAGCTGCGGGTGAAAGCATAAAAGCTGCAGGGGGAAACATGTGTTGAGACATTTTCTGTAATTATTCTGTGTTTGTGTGTATTTGTGTGTTTAAGGTGTGTGTTTGTTTCTGTGCTTTTGTGAGTGTGTTTGTGTGTGAATCTTTGTGTGTTTGTGTGAGTGTGCTGCTGTTAGTGTGTGTGTGTGTGTGAGTTTGTGCGTGTGTTAGTGGATGTTAATGTGTGCTAGTGTGTTAGTGTCTGTATGTGAGATAGAGTGAGATGTGATGTCCTGTGCTGGAGATGTAGAGATGTAGAGATGTGGAGGTCTGGAGGTCTGGAGGTCTGGACTCTGGGGGCCTGAAGGCCCGGGGGCCAGGAGCAGTCCTGGGTCTTGGCTCACACAGACCTGTGGGAAGAAACATTTGTGTCAGACACCAGAACTAACAGGACGCACCACTTAAAGATAGAAAGAGGATTCATCAGTGGTTCGGAGCGTCTCCTTGAATCAAAAAAGTGACTATTAATGTGGGTTCCACAGAAGAGGACGTCTGGTTTGGTGCTTCATGTTCTCAGGTTCAACTATATTCTCTTATGAACATATGACTGTTGTTATTGACTGATTTAAAGTCTTATTCAAACATTTTTCCATTTGACTCTAATAGAAAAAATGCATATCTCTGAATGAAAAAAACAGACAGCACGTTATCTTTTGTTTATCTCTGTTCATTTGAGTTACTACTTGAATCTTTCTATCTTCTTTCTCCGTGATGGGGGTTTGTGAAATAACACCAAACGCAAAGGCCAAACAGTTTCAATCTGATTTTGTCTATGGTGAGGAATCTCACTGGATTATAAATGATGCTACTTTTAGGAATTTTCAGAGGGGTAAAAAAAACTGTTGGACAAGTTACTTCAAAATTGTAATGTGTTATTTATTCATTACATTACAATATTACTGCATTTAAACTGTAAGACACTCGACTACTGCAGTACTTTTCACTTACTCTCACCAAAATAACTCTGCCATGATGCCCAACGTTTGTACCATATATGGACTAAACCAGGACTAAACCAGGACTGAACCAGGACTGAACCAGGACTAAACCAGGACTAAACCAGGACTGAACCAGAACTGAACCAGGACTAAACCAGGCGTAAACCAGGACTGAACTGGGACTAAACCAGGACTAAACCAGAACTAAACCAAGACTGAACCAGAACTGAACCAGGACTGAACCAGAACTGAACCAGGACTGAAACTGAACCAGGACTGAACTGGAACTAAACCAGGACTAAACCAGGAGTGAACCAGGTCTGAACCAGGTCTAAACCAGGTCTAAACCAGGACTAAACAGGACTAAAACAGGACTGAACCAGACTAAACAGGACTAAACTGGGACTAAACCAAGCCTGAACCAGGACTAAACCGGGACTAAACAGGACTAAACTGGGACTAAACCAAGCCTGAACCAGGACTAAAACAGGACCGAACCAGGAAATAAACAGGACTGAACCGGGACTAAAACGAGACTAAACCGGGACTAAACCTACGCGGGTGTCCCTCCGGCGTGTTACTGCAGCTTATATCGCGGTGATTTGAGTGAATTTGTATGAAGAAAAAGGAAAAAGGCGCCATTTCAGTCCAGGTAAAGGCGCGTTACTGACATTTGGACCGAGTCAAATCTATCACAAACCTGAGCTTTTACCTCCCGAGAGTCCTGGAGTCCGAGTCAGGGGACGGTCACAAGCTGTTTGTGAAGAAATATCCCAAAGATGAGGCTGGTGTCCGTAGAAATATTCAGAGCAGGTTTAAGAGCGCACTTTCTCGTCTCGAGCAAAGTTTGCAAAGATTGCAATGTTTGAAAGATGCACGTAGCAACCAAAAGAACAACAGCACGCACGTGCGCACTGACGTAAGCACGCTAGCGTCTTGGCGCGTTCTATACAGTCACGTGTGGCGCAGACAGTGTATGGATCTAATATCCACACACTTTACATATGATCTAAAACTCTGTTACCGACGCGGACACAACAGTATGTCCCGTTTACATGACGGCTTTCATTCAAGCTTTATTCAAAACAATTCATCCGATATTAAATAAGAACAATACAAATAAGAATACAACAGTCAAAATGACATGGTCTTTTTCAAGCGGAATTAAACACTTCATTCCTAATGATTATTCAGAATAAAATTAAAATTCGAATTAAGTGGGTGGTTTATTCCAATTTTAAAGCCGAATTAATTTATTCCGCGATCATGTAAACGTTTATTCCACTTCAAAATAAGTGGAGTGTAATATGGTGAGAAAGGTTTGTATCATGTTTGTGTCCCCGTACCTCTGTTTCCCGGTGCATATGTCATTGTGTAAGACACCGATGTCCCCGTTAACACCGCGAGCCGTCCTCATCCCAACTTACCATCATGAAGTGATAAAACAGCAGCATGTGGCTCACTTTGTACGCAACTCAGACAGGGGCGAGTGGTTCTGTGCCGTCCTCTGCGCGCTGGGCGCGCTGGGCTTTTGTCCTCTGTGCCGCGGACCGCGGCTGGTTCCGAGGTGGTGCAAAACATCCGGACAGAAGCGCCAATCCAGTTTGGTTATTATAATATGGCAGAACAGAATTAAAGAAAGAGAAGGCTGCCATGTTGAGGACCACTGAAGACCTCAAAGTAGAGTGAGACCTGCTGGTGGGCAGATGCAGCGCACTGGACCACGCCCTGACTAGAACACAGGAAGAGCGCTCCCTGCATCTGGACAGATATATAGTACATAAGAGCAGCTCCTGACAAGAGCAGAGGAAGAGCGCTCCCTGCTGATCATGAAGAACAGGGCGCTACACCAGGCGACAGAGCAGGAAAAACAAATCAGAACTGCTCTAGAGGAGGAGAAGACAGTTCTCTCAAAGACCTGTGAGGAGCTGAACATAAAGCGCTCCCTACAGGTTCAAAGATTCAGTGTCTTGGAGGAAAAGCAGAGAAGAACAGAAAAATAGTTCTCCCTGCTGGAGGAGATGAGCATTGTGTTGGAGCAGGAGCTGAAGAAGAATCTGCATCTAGAGCCTCTCTCACCCCCCTCACTGTTCTGCACATGAACAATAAAGCACAGCAAAAAATATATATGTATGTGTATGTGTGTGTGTGTGTGTGTGTGTGTATGTGTGTGTGCGTGTGTGTGTGTATGTGTGTGTGTGTTTGTGTGTGTGTGTGTGATGGTGGTGGTCAGAGGGACCGATGGTGCTGATTGGCTGGCAGCTGTGCTTCTGTCAGTCTGCCCCAGGGCAGCTGTGGCTACAATAGTTATTTACCATCACCATCAGGTCTGGAGTGACTGAATAATGATCTGTAAAATGTCTTTGTGACAAAATGTCTGTGAAAAGCTCTATAGAAATGACAACTTACTTACTTGTCTTCCCCAAATATGTTTGGTTGGGACATGTCCCCCACCGTCCCTATGAAACCCTGCGCTCTTGGTTTTGTTTTATTCACACATGTTTGAGTAACTCTTTATTATTAGTGTGTCTACATCTCCCAAGTTCAAAATGCTCTGTTCCACCTTGTGATGTCATGAAGTAGTAGTTAACAGTGACCTTTTACCTTTAGTTCAGGAGAGAAGGGCTGAAATGATCCAAATAATTCTAGTGAATGCATTTCCTGTTTTACCACACGGTGTTTTCCATTTGAGAGAAGAACTCAGCTGAAATGTTGTTTGTGTGTTAAATGTGTCAAACAAAGCACAGGTCCAGGTCTGTTTGTGATGATAACATAGATCAAAATACAGCGAAGTATGAGCCCTTTAAAAATGACAATCTTCCAGAATGTTTGGTGCTATTTGAAATCTACAACACAGTTTCAAGTCCTTTTTAAAAACACAGTGGTGAAATAAACGCGTGTCTTGAATGTAGGACACATGATTGAGCTAAAAAATGTAGGCGTGTAGCTTTGTTTCCTGCAGAACCTGTTTAGGAGTCCAACTATAAATGCAGCTGCAGCTCATCTCCAGTCTGCCCCTCCACAGAGAACCAGAAACATGGACCCACCTCGGCCCGCTCCTCTGGCCCTGCTCCTGGCCCTCGTCCTGGGCTTCACCGTCACAGCTCAGGCCTGGGACAAACTGGAGCAGTGCCAACACACAATCTGCCCAAGATTCACCCGTAAGGCACAACATGAGGTGAGTGAGCACTTTAAATCCTTTATCGTGGCCCATTTTAAAGCTTGGCTACTGCTAAAAGTGAAGAGAAACTATTGACATTTTATTATAATGAACAGATCAGCAGTGTTTTTCATGCATTTCTTTCAAATTTTTGCCTTTTATTTAACGAATTGTAACATCAATATCTTATTTTTTAGACATTTCTTTAAAGGCTTAAAATAAATATTTCTAACAGAAAAAAAAAACAGTCAAAAAAACTTGTTTAAACAGTTTTTATGTAAAGAGACACACTTTGATAAAAGATAATAATGAGGCTATTCCCTGTGACTCACAGCAGAACAATAGATCAGGATGATCCACTAAACCAGTTTAAACAGACCGAGTCATTGAAAGGCCGGTGCTGCGACAAATCATTTTTCAATAATTAGTCACTTATTCAGTCTTTTACAGCTCAAATCTTATTCTATTACTATAAAAATACCCCAAATTTACAAACATCTACAAAGAAATTATACACATGATAAATATTGAGCAAAAAATTACATTATTTCAGCTTTCATATGTTCAGCATCATTGATAAAGTGTTTACTGTGACAGGATTTAGACTGGACTAAACCAGGATTTAGACTGGACTAAACCAGGATTTAGACTGGACTAAACCAGGATTTAGACTGGACTAAACCAGGATTTAGGACTAAACTGGACTGGATTTAGATTTAGACTGGACTAAACCAGATTTAGACTGGACTAAACCAGGATTTAGACTGGACTAAACCAGGATTTAGACTGGTGTGGGTTTTTTCGGAAGGTTCAATGCGTGTCCTAAAAAGAAGCACAGGAGATGGAGAATCCGAAGAACAGGCCACTTTATTCAGCATTTCCATTGAGAGAGATTCAAGTTGATTACCAAGTACAACTGTCACCCCGGACGACGCCTCTGACCAACTCAAAATCAGGGGTAGCTTTATACTACATTTGACAAAACATTAACTTGTTGATTTAGCTATACAGCAAGAAAATGAACAATACTGCTGACCCAGTGCACCTTATCATGGTGGAAACATGCCACGGGGTCCACATATGTCAGTTTTTCTGCTTCGTGGCATCTCAAAGTCCAGAAAAACATGTTTATAGACCTATAGATAGTCATACGTGTTCCACCCTGTTGTCATTCCAAAGTCCATAATATTAGGTGAATTAGCAGACCAACCCACACTGACTAAACCAGACTGGACTAAACCAGGATTTAGACTGGACTAAACCAGGATTTGGACTGGACTAAACCAGGATTTAGACTGGACTAAAGCAGGATTTAGACTGGACTAAACCAGGATTTGGACTGGACTAAACCAGGATTTAGACTGGACTAAAACAGGATTTAGACTGGACTAAACCAGGATTTAGACTGGACTAAACCACTGGATTTAGACTGGACTAAACCAGGATTTGGACTGGACTAAAACCAGGATTTGGACTGGACTAAACCAGGTTTTGGACTGGACTAAAACAGGATTTGGACTGGACTAAACCTGGACTTAGACTGGACTAAACCTGGACTTAGACTGGACTAAACCAGGATTTAGGGCTAAATTGGACTAAAACAGGATTTAGACTGGACTAAACCGTCCTGGTCCTGGTAAATCCTTGATTAGACTGGACTAAAACAATCTGTACCTCGCTGTCCTCGTGGGCAGCTCATTTGAAGACAGCGAGGTACAGATTTTAGCCAGAGAAAAGAGTTGGTTTGAGAGGGGAGTGAAAGAAGCCATTTTTGTTAAGAAAGAGAATCCTTCTCTAAACAGAAATGGAGGCGTCAGACTCCCATCTGTCTCCTATTTACACGTCCATCCTCAAACCTAAAACAAAACAAACAAGAGAACAACAGGTGTATCCAGGTCAGGTTCAGACGGTGTGGAAGCTCCATTATGTCTGACATTATGTCTGTTCTGTTGATTAGACCCCACACCCTGCACAGGTCAATAGGCCAATTTACCGAACAGAAACTGTCAACAAGTGTGTGTGTTTTTCTCCTCGTCGTGGATTCCACCTGGACGACTGAGGGATTCTTCACACATTATTTATAATCGTATCGAATCAATTTGAAATATGTCGTATTAAATAGAAAGCTCACTGTATCGAGTCATGTATCGTATCGGCAACTTCTTAATGTTACCCAGTCCTACTGTCAAAGTGTGCTGGGTCGCCTCTCAACAGATCTGACCTGTAACTTGGCCTGCTCATGCCCCCTGCTCGTCTCCATGGAGATGAATATGTTTCAAGTGTGTATGTATGTGATTTCATTTGGTGGGACAATATCTGCTGTAAATAAAAATGACACGAAATGTTTTACGAAGTAGTTTGGGAAGAAAAGTTGAAAAATATGTTGAAAATTACAAAACGTACAGTTCTATTTTCCATATTGAGACTTCTGTCCAAAACACCTTTGTATGACATTGAAACATGATTTCGACAAAACAAAGATGTAATTCTTATATTTTATATTTGTTCTATGATCATTTCTATATTTGGGCCCAGTGTACATGGTTGCTAGGTATTTTGTTTTGGGAATTTCCAACAAGGAAGTCAAATTTGAAACCTAATAAACATTTGTATGACGGTATTAACGTATAATTAACTGTGTTTTAGTCGATTAAGCAGTCCAACCTGTAATACGGTTTGTTTTATATGGTCTTTATTGCCATGCTGCCGTATATTCAAGTCTAAAGACGTATTCACACGGGATTAATTTGACCTGTGGACCTTTGGTGATTTGTGATGATTATGGAGGACGCCTGAGATCTTATTCCATGTCTGTAATTTGTAAAGTCAAAATTCTGCTGCAAATGACCTACAATATTTCACCAAACATAAACATCTGGTGGTAAAACTAGTCCCGTGCGAATCTGCTTCTCGGTGTTTGTTGTTGTAATTGCACCTTTTCTCTCTCTTTCTTTTCTTTCCGCGTTCTTTTCTCTTTCAATCTCAGCCTTTGTCAGTAAAACTGAGACATTTACGGACTTCACTTATGCTGTAGGCAGTGTCGGGGAGTAACAGATTACATGTACCGGAGTTACATAATCAGAGTACACATTATGAGTAACTGTATCCAGTTACAGTTACTGTTTCAGTGAGTGGTCATTGGATTACAGTTACTTTGTTGAAATAAATGGATTACATGGCGGTATTTTTCAGTTTTTACATTTTGGGCTATATCCCCTTTTTTTTCTTTTTTTTTTTCTGGAATTCCACTCATTGCCAGACACTAAACCAGGTCTAAACCAGGTCTAAACCAGGTCTAAACCAGGTCTAAAACCAGGTCTAAACCAGGTCTAAACCAGGTCTAAACCAGGTCTAAAACCAGGTCTAAACCAGGTCTAAACCAGGTCTAAAACCAGGTCTAAACCAGGTCTAACCAGGTCTAAACCAGGTCTAAACCAGGTCTAAACCAGGTCTAAAACCAGGTCTAAAACCAGGTCTAAACCAAAAACCAGGTCTAAACTAGGTCTAAAACCAGGACTAAACCAGGACTAAAACCAGGTCTAAACCAGGTCTAAACCAGGTCTAAACCAGGTCTAAACCAGGTCTAAAACCAGGTCTAAACCAGGTCTAAACCAGGTCTAAACCAGGTCTAAAACCAGGTCTAAAACCAGGTCTAAAACCAGGTCTAAACCAGGACTAAAACCAGGTCTAAACCAGGTCTAAAACCAGGTCTAAAACCAGGTCAAAACCAGGTCTAAACTAGGTTTAAAACCAGGACTAAAACCAGGTCTAAAACCAGGTCTAAACCAGGTCTAAACCAGGTCTAAAACCAGGTCTAAACCAGGTCTAAACCATGTCTCCTCCTCTATTATCCTCTATATTCTATCAATAATATTTTTGAATATGGTTAAGGAAAGTCTGAGTGTTTTATTGTCTTTAAGCAGACAAAAATATCCTCATCTTTGCTTCTCTACAGCAAATCAAGTAATCCAAAGTATTCAGATTACATTACTCACTTAAGTAATTTAATGGAATCTGTTACAAACTACATTTTGGGGTATGTAATCTGTAATCTGTAATCTGTAGGGGAATACATTTTAAAAGTCACCTTCCCAACACTGGCCGTAGGAAAGCTCTGCAAGTAACACAGACGTGGGATGGTCATTTGCAAATGACCAGACGTCCCCAGGTTGGACTTATCCTTAGCATTTGGCAGACCCTCCTACACCTTCCTACAGAAATGTTCCAGAGTGTGTCTTTAAGTGTGCCTGTGTTTGTGTTGCAGACGTACGAGGAGCGTGTGTACGAGCCGACCAAGTGGATCTGCACCGAGATCCAACGGCCCATCCTCCCTCTGGTGATGGGAGCCCAAAAAACACTCAAAGAATTCAGTGAGAGGAAGAGCCAGGAAATAGGTACAACCACGAGGACTACACTTCAAACACACACTGTGTAAAGAAATGAACCCAGCAAACCACTTTACCATATTTTTCGGACTATAAGTGGCTCTGAGTAGAAGTCAAACCAGCCAAAAAATGCATAATGAAGAAGAAAAAACCTATATAAGTCACACTGGGCTATAAGTCACACTTTTTGTAGGAAATGTATTTTATAAAATCAGAGACCAGGAACCGACATTTCCTGTGTAAAGTCAAGTTGTAGTAAAAACAATAGAAGAGAGAACAACAGACTGTTAACGTCACATATGAACAGTTCTTCAGATAATGTTGAGGAAAATCACCTTTTCCTCGCCTGTTTATAAAGTCCAGATAATTGACTTATTCTAATATAAGAAAAGTCACACTTGTACAAGGAGCCTGTGCTGATGTTCCCATGCAGAGACTGAATATTCACACCTATACACTGCTCAGTGTTGGGGAGTAACAGATTACATGTACCAGAGTTACATAATCAGAGTACACATGATGAGTAACTGTATTCAGTTACAGTTACTGTTTCAGTGAGTGGTCATTGGATTACAGTTACTTTGTTGAAATAAATGGATTACATGGTGGTATTTTCCTGTTTTCAAATTTTGGACTAAAACCAGAACTAAACCAGGTCTAAACCAGGTCTAAACCAGGACTAAACCAGGACTAAACCAGAACTAAACCAGGTCTAAACCAGGACTAAACCAGGCCTAAACCAGAACTAAACCAGGACTAAACCAAGACTAAACCAGGCCTAAACCAGAACTAAACCAGGACTAAACCAGGACTAAACCAGGTCTAAACCAGGACTAAACCAGGACTAAACCAGAACTAAACCAGGTCTAAACCACTACTAAACATGGACTAAAATCAGGACTAAACTAGATCTAAACCAGGTCTAAAACCAGGTCTAAAGTAGATCTAAACCAGGTCTAAACAGGTCTAAAACCAGGACTAAACTAGGACTAAACCAGGACTAAACTAGGACTAAACCAGGACTAAACCAGGACTAAACCAGGACTAAACTAGGACTAAACTAGATCTAGTTTTCTGGGTCATTGTACAGTGAAAAAACATAGCAGTACATCAGTAAGTACATAGCAGTACATCATTTACATCACAGCAGTAGTTCTCCACCACCTCAGCCTGGTTATTTATCCTAACAATAACTAGAACATAAACAACAGAAATGGCCCCGTAGCATCTCTCAGACCTCATCCAAATTCAGCCCTAAGCTCTGGAACACTCACACAAGCCTCCCCATCATCTGCAGGCTGATTGTGTTGTGATAGAGCTCTGAAGGGAGAGTGAGTTAGTGTGGGGAGCAAAGGAAGGGTGAGTTCAGAGCGTCAAAAACAAAAGTAAAAATGATAACATATGATGAATGAATACAATGAATGAATAGGATATTTTAGGCAAATTTATCACTTTCAAAATAATAAAAAGTGACATGGTGATCTACATAGGTGATGTGTTAGCAGTTCATACCACAGAAGTAAAAAGTGAGTGACATTTTTGAGATGTTTGAGTTTTTTGACGCGGAAGTCAGCGATCTTTTATCTTTAGTTCAGTGCAGATTCCAGAATGCAACAAGTTCTTTTGCTGAAAACATGAAACCTCTTTTTCAGGTTTAGTCTGTGATTTAAAGCAGTGTTTCGAAAAACTTTTTTTCTGGGGACCCATATTTTAAAAGTCACAAACCTTCGTGACCCAAGTCCACAGACATTATTCGTAAATCACAAAATAAAGGTAAATTATTGAACATTAATGAGGTTATTTTATTGCTGACTGAGTGATCGTGGCTTTGATCAATTAGTATTACTCAAGTTTGAAACTATGAAAAACAGTCATTGAAGCAGCAATAAAAGCATCCAGAAGTCGCCTATTTGAACATTAAACGTAGAACATTTCTTTTTCTTTTCAACATTTAATCGAACCAGCAATACTGGAATAAAAGAGTCAATAAAATAATTACAAAAAAATTTAAAATGACACAAACCATGTCTTAACATTTCAACCTACAAGCAGATCATGACAAGGTGACCCAAAAAAAAAAAAATCTCCTGTGACCAGTGTTGGGGAGTAACAGAGTACATGTAATGAGTTATGTAATCAGAGTACAAATGATGAGTAACTGTATTCAGTTACAGTTACTGTTTCAGTGAGTGGTAATTGGATTACAGTTACTTTGTTGAAATAAATAGATTAGACTGCGGTATTTTCCTGTTTTCACATTTGGGGCTATATCCCTTTTTTTTTTTTCCTCGGTAATTTCACTCATTGCCGGAAACTAAACTAGGTCAAAACCCAGGTCTAAACCAGGACTAAAACAGGACTAAACCAGGACTAAACCAGGTCTAAACCAGGACTAAAACCAGGACTAAACCAGGACTAAACCAGGTCTAAACCAGGACTAAACCAGGACTAAACCAGGTCTAAACCAGGACTAAACCAGGTCTAAACCAGGACTAAACCAGGACTAAACCAGGACTAAACCAGGACTAAACCAGGTCTAAACCAGGACTAAAACAGGATTTAACAGGACTAATCCATGCTGTGCGGACCGTGTCTCCTCGTCTTTTATCAATAATATTTTTAATTTGGTTCAGTAAAGACTCGGCCTTTTCATTTAGCAGACAAAACATCTTATGTGAAGATTTCCTCGTCTTTGCTTCTCTACAGCAAACCAAGTAATCCAAAGTATTCAGATTACATTACTCACCTTAAGTAACTTAATGGATTCTGTTACAAACTACATTTTGGTGTATGTAATCTGTAATCTGTAGGGGAATACATTTTAAAAGTCACCTTCCCAACACTGCCTGCGACCCACCTGAGGTTCGCGACCCAGTCTTTGGGAAACAGTGTTTTAAAGGAGGCGTATGTCAATTCATATCATCCCAGCTCAAGTGCCTGTCGCTGATTTTTCCCATGTATTTGAACAAAATGTGCAATGAAGTGTTGAATAGAGGAGAATAAAGATTACTCAAACATGCATGAATCATTCTAAATACAACTCTGAGGGGGAAACTCCTTTAAAAGCTCTAAAAATATATATTTGGCATAATATAGTCTGACTGATTTGAGTTTGTTTGCTTGTCATTTGCTGCGCAGGTATAGACATCGTTGAAGACACGTGGCCGGGGCTTCTGTACCAGGACAGTGGTAGGGGGATGGGATATGGGATGTGCTGGCTGGTTCGTCCTGAAGTCCCCCTCCCTGACAGTGACAGTGACAAGCTCCCAGTGAAAGTCAAGACGTTCCCCCAGACCACCATGTTTGTCAGGTCAGTCTTACTCCACTCTGCTACGCGCCGCCATCTTTCTCAGGTCACTAAAAACGGTGATTATAATGTCGGATTGTTAAATGACGATGTGACTTTCAGGTCTAATGGGAACTTCACAACACTTTCTACGAGGGATAAAACAATAAACGTGATCATCAAAAGTCTCACAATAATATCATGGGCCATCACAGTATATCGAATTACAAGTCTTTGCTTAAATTAATAGCTAAAAACACAGAGGGAACTCCATAGACCAGGGGTGCTCAATACGTCGATCTCGATCTACCAGTCGATCGGCAAGGTCGTGTGGGTAGATCGCCGTGTCTTAATACTCGTCTCGATCGCTTCTGGACTCGGTCTTGTCTCTCACTCGAGGTCTGACACTCAACAAGTGTGATCATATTTCATTCCGGCCGCTGCTGTTGGTAATAAACTTGTAGCGGGTGCAGGAGCGTGTGGGGCGTCTCAGTGCAGCCTGTGCGCTCATTTGAAACCCGCGGAGACTCTACAGCACATCACAAACACACACGCTCCCTATGCACGGCTCGTCTGCGACAGCGTGTGCCCTCGTGTACCAGCGTGCATCACAGGGCAGGTTCAACTTCCTAAACATCCTACCTGTCCATCTGCCTCACGTCAGCACGCCGCCCCTCGCCTTTTCACGCTCTCGCTCCTTCCTGCGTACAGCGAACACAAGCCCCTCCCACAGTGCGGCTGATTAGAAGAACAAGACCAAACGTGAAGCAAAAACCAGTCTAAATTTGTGTTACCAGCACTGTTGGCACAAAGCAGGTCTACAGCATAGAGCGGATCTACAGAACAGACCTACTGCCACATTTGGCTGAAGTTTGTCTAACAAAAGTGACAAATGCATCTGTGTTTGTCACGATGTGCGTTTGGTTTGGTAAACGTGCAGAGGCTGGTAAATATCACTGCAAAACCAGAAAAGAATGTAAACTCCAGTTTGGAACTTTAAAAAACAGGTTTAAAAATCTTCCTTCACTTTTTTCACAGTTTTGTGTAAAGTGCCAGAGGAAGTTCTCTTAAAGAAGAGGTTCTCAAACTGTGGGGGAGGGTCCAAAAAAGGGCCACAGAGTGTTTCAGTGCAGTTTGCTTGGCTTTGTATTAGGTCGATCTTTATGACTTGGTCATTTTGTAAGTAGCTCACATGATGAAAAGTGTGAGCACCCTGAGATAGACCATGATCCTTTGCTCCGGTTCAGTCCAGACTCCATACAGAAATAACAGTTCTAAGCAATTTCAGTCTTTGGATTAAGACTTGTCATCTGGTTTTAAGAGAAAAAAGTAGTATAGTAGCGTAAGTAAGTACCACAGCGTCCACAAAATATCGCAATAAATATCGTCGTGTGAGATGCATATTGTGAAAATATCGTACCGAGACATTTGGATATCGTTACATCCCTACTGTCTACTTTTGTCATCAAAGATACAATTACACAGCATTATTCAAATGTAGTAATAATCTAGTACAGACATGTCAGAAATTTGGCCCGCAATATCATTATATTTATCCCGCGAGATCATATCAAATATGTATTAGAGCTGCCCGTCGGCTACAGATCGACTATAGTCAAGTTTCATTGTTGACAAAAGTGCACGTTGCATGCTGGGAATTATTTTGGTTGGCGGCAAGAAACACTAATTCAACATGACGGACGGAGCGAGAAAACACGTAAAGGGTATTGATCCTGGTTATTTATCCACTCTAACGGCAGAGGACCCAAGACCATTTGACCAGAAATTGGTCATAAGCATCGATGGAGCCAAATCACCCTTTTCAACCCCGACAAAAGGTGGACCAAACCAAATTTCTGGTCAGAATCACCAACTACCTGGACAAATATTCACTTTGGTGATATACACAATGACTTGGTGGAAACTCCTGGGCCGTTCACAGCAGAAAAGATGAAAACCTCCAAGAGTCTCGATGTGTTGTTGAACTTGTTGGAGTCCACGGTTTGTTAGGATCTTCTACGTTTGCTCTGCGGATGTTTGAAAGTCGTTTAATTCACCGTTAGTGGTTCTTTTCACTCAGAATACGAAAAAGACATTTTCCTTTCTATTTGAGCATCCGATAATGCAGCAGGAATTTACCATTATCGGGGAGAAATACGTGAGGTTACGCACTGTGTTTGACGCTACCGTGTTTCTTGCCTCCGACCAAAATATTTCCCAGCATGCAACGCGGGCTTTTAATAACAATAACGTCAGCTGAAACTCGCCTATAGAGACATTATTTATTTAAAATGTTGTTACTATTTTATATTTTGCTTGTTCTGGATTCAATGTTTAAGCAAAACTATTATTAAACATTTATTTTAATAAGAAAAGGTTGAACATTACATATCTCGAACGAAGAGAAAACAGGCAGATGTTGGTGAACTGTTTCAATAAATATTTAGTTTGGCCCATCATTTAGTCCCAGTTTTTAATTTTGGCATCTTTGAGTTTGAGTTTGACCCTCCTGGTCTAGTATAACCTCGAGACGTGTGACCAGACCAGTGTGTGTGTGTATCCAGTGTTGGGAAGTAACTGGATCTGTCTACCGACAATATGTAGACTTAAAAATTTCCTTGTGGGTAAATTGTCTCTGTATTTTGGACGGAATGTTCAGTGTTCAGTGACACAGGTCGAGATATTCCCGTTTTACAACTCAGCGCTACTTCCTTTTTTATCTTCAAACTGCCCCTTAACTGCTGTAAAACTACGACAAATATTTAGCACAGGTACTGTCCCGCTAAACCGAAGAACAGTCAGAAAAACTGTATTTGTTGCGACACAACGATGGAGGGACCCAAAAAATGGAAATCAGACCAAATTCAAAAAATGAAAAGGAGAATTTATTTTACAAAAGGGAGAATACAGGCTGGAGACGGCAAGGATCAACAGTGTAGGTCAAAAACAATCTGGAAGAGTCTCGAGTTGATGTACAGTTGTAGGGAGTATTATCTGTTACATAAAGGTGAGTTGTCGTTGTAGGGAGTATTATCTGTTCCATAAGGATGAGTTGTACAGTTGTAGGGAGTATTATCTGTTACATAAGAGTGAGTTGTACAGTTGTAGGGAGTATTATCTGTTACATAAGAGTGAGTTGTACAGTTGTAGGGAGTATTATCTGTTACATAAGGGTGAGTTGTTGTAAAGTTGTAGGGAGTATTATCTGTTATATAAGGGTGAATTGTGTTTTAGTTGTAGGGAGTATTATATGTTACATAAGGGTGAGTTGTCAGTTGTAGGGAGTATTATCTGTTACATAAGGATGAGTTGTTATACAGTTGTAGGGAGTATTATCTGTTCCATAAGGGTGAGTTGTTGTGAAGTTGTAGGGAGTATTATCTGTTCCATAAGGGTGAGTTGATGTATAGTTGTAGGGAGTATTATCTGTTACATAAGGATGAATTGTTCTGCAGTTGTAGGGAGTATTATCTGTTACATAAGGTGAGTTTTTTACATTGTAGGGAGTATTATCTGTTACATAAGGGTGAGTTTTTTACAGTTGTAGGGAGTATTATCTGTTACATAAGGGTGAGTTTTGTAAAGTTGTAGGGAGTATTATCTGTTATATAAGGGTCAGTTTTTGTACAGTTGTAGGAAGTATTATCTGCTACATAAGGGTGAGTTTTTTACAGTTGTAGGGAGTATTATCTGTTACATAAGGGTGAGTTGTACAGTTGTAGGGAGTATTATCTGTTCCATAAGGGTGAGTTGTACAGTTGTAGGGAGTATTATATGTTACATAAACGTAAGTTGTTGAACAGCTGTAGGGAGTATTATCTGTTACATAAGAGTGAGTTTTTGTACAGTTGTAGGGAGTATTATCTGTTACATAAGAGTGAGTTTTTGTACAGTTGTAGGGAGTATTATCTGTTACATAAGAGTGAGTTGTACAGTTGTAGGGAGTATTATCTGTTACATAAGAGTGAGTTTTTGTACAGTTGTAGGGAGTATTATCTGCCACTTTATTGTTTTGTATGTTCCAGGTTGTTCAGTGGGCCCCCGTCTCTGGAGGAAGGTCAAGAAAACGCAGAGAAGCTGAAGGAGGATCTGAGAAAAGCCGGAGAGACTTTCAACGACAACATTTTCTACGGCGCTGGATACGAGGGCTTCCTCTCTCTCACTCACCACAGCGAAATCTGGATCCCAAAAGCTTAAACTGCTGTGAGGAACCCACCGCCGCTTTAACTTCACTCTTATTGTATTTTCAAAGGTTCTAAAACTTAAAAGAGGCATTGTGTAACTTTTCGCTGGCAGGGTTCATAGGTGGAGGTTGTTATATTGTGTAGAGTCAGAGGTGGGGACTTGAGTCAGACTTGAGTCACTGTTTTTAGGACTTGAGACTTGACTTGATAAAATGGACCAAGACTAGGGACTTGACTTGATAAAATGGACTAAGACCTGGGACTGGACTCGGACTTGAGGCCTGTGACTTAAGAAGCACTTTTAAATCTAAATTCTTTCTCTTCTGACCGTAATAATTCACACTAAGATCTTGCCAAGACATTTAAAAACAACTACTACTAATACTTTTCTACAACTCAAATATACTCTATAAATACTCATATATAAATATACTATGACTTTATAAGTACAATTGATCTTAAAATTCATATAAATTGCAAAAATCTAAGCTGTATTTGTTACTTTGGTTTAAAGACTTGAAATGACTTGAAGCTCAAAGCAGACGACTTGGACTTGACTTGAACTTATGGGCCAGTGACTCGAGGCTCGACTTGGACTTGCCTGTATTTGACTTGGGACTTGACTCGGACTTGAGGTCAAAGACTTGAGACTCGCAAAAGGAAGACTTGGTCCCACCTCTGGTTCAAGGTTTGGTCCAGGTTTGAGTCCCAGTTTAGTCCTGCTGTGGACTTGTTTTGGTCCTGTTCTAGTCCAGGTCTAGTCCAGGTCTAGTCCAAGTCTTAAATTTGATATGTGTGCAAAAGTAAATGCATGAAGTAAAACGGCAAATGAAGTAATTTATGAAGTACTTAACCCTGTGACTTACTGCTGTACTACATAAAAGCACCACTCGATGGCGCCACTGTACTGTGTCATGTTACTGTACTTTATCCTTTTTATATACTTAATTAAAGATGCACTGTGTAACTTTCTTGGTGGGTGAGTTTACCACCTGCTGTCTCCATGGAGATATTACTGAATTGCGTGGAATGTCTTGGAATGTTCCGCAGTGCAGCATTAAACTTATATGTCACGTATTTATGCAACTGTAATGTTTCTGTATCGCTAAAAAAACACGCATTCCCCTCTCCGCTGATCTGACTTGTGACTTGGTCTGGTGACATCATCTGTTTATCTCCATGGAAGTAGGTACGTTTAATGCCATACTGTGGAATATCATCTCCATGGAGACAAGCACCAGAAAAGTGACACAGCAAAAGCAAAAATGGAATAGAAAAAGCGCTTCCTTTTTGAGGTGACATTGTTTCGATAAATGAGCATTCTTATTGTTTTGGTGAATAAAAGTGACTCCAGATCAGTGTCTGTTATTCCGATACACGTGTACACTTATAAACATGTGTACTTTGTTGTACTTTTACCATAAAAACTACTCACAAATGATGAAGCGAAATGGAATCACTGAAAACAAATTCCAACATCAGCAAAGATATTTTAGCCTGATTTGTTTTATTCACAAATCTTTGAGTAACTTTTTATTATTAGTCTGTCTACATCTTCAAAGCTCAAAATGCTCTGTTCCACCTTGTGATGTCATGAAGTGGTAGTTCTCAAGTGAACAGCAGCTTTTAGTTCAATAAAGATGGGCATTTCCAGCGCTGAAATTACTCAAATGATTTTAGTGTACACATGACATCACAAGGTGGAACAGTGTTTTCCTTTTGACAGAGGAACTTAAATCTGCAGGGTTTGTGAGTTAAGCATGTGTGGAAAAAAAAGAAAAACACAACTCCAGGTCTGTTTGTGATAAGAGATCGGAAAAAGCGTAATATGAGCACTTTAAGGTAAACTGATGATCCGAGTCTTTCTGCTGTTGCTCTGTTTCTGTGTAGTTACACAACGCAGCGCACGCTCCAAATTCCACTAAACCTGGCCGACCAGTTTCACCTGAGTCTTTTAGAGTCAAAGCTTTTATCGTAAACACATCCTCCTTATTCCGAAATCACGCTCAGTCTGAACAGCACAAAGATTTTAACAGAGTGGGAAATGGACGCAGAAGGACCCGATGGTGAGTGATTCTACTCCAACATGCAGGAACTAGTAGTTAGTATTTTAAACTGAACTATAACATCTGTAAAATATCTGTGTCAGTGTTCTTCTCTCACTGGATTCATGAAAGGGACTAGGGGCTCGTCTTGGGACTCACTATTTTATTTTATGACCAGACTCCTTGTATTAATTAGACAATGTGCATGAATGAACCAGAGAACATAATCTACACACTTACACACTTACACACTTACACACTTACATACTTACACACTTACACACTTACACACTTACACACTTACACACTTACACACTTACATACACACTTACACACTTACACACTTACATACTTACACACTTACACACTTACACACTTACATACCCGACTGTCCGAGGAGGGTAGTAGTAGTCACTTACATTTAATAATAGATAATAATGGATGATGATAAAGTACTACTGTAGCCACAGCGACACCAGCTTTGACCACCACCATCTCACACACACACACACACTTTCATACTAGAGTATCATTCTCAGATCTTAAGACATTCAGACATGTGGCAGCCTTGTGTCATGAGACTTTTGTGTATTTTGCAAAGTTGACAGGTTAAAACTATAACAAGAAAATCCCTGGACAGGAATCTACATGCAAAAATAATGACTCAAGTATTTTGTATCACCAGTTTGTACTTCTACTTGAGTAATATTTTGAAGTAAGTGAGTAGAGTTTTTGGTGAGTGTACAGGTACCCACCTCTGATGATTATTAAACTATTTGTGTAGAAAACTCGACTATTAAGATTCCTGCTGGATAAAGGCTCAGCTCACTGCAGCTGTGCAAAGTAATTGGTGTCCTGTTCTTTTTATAAACATTTAAAGCATCTGTCAAAGAAATGTCACCCAGCAGCAGCCGCAGCAGCAGTCTGTGTGTGAAGTAGAGTTCACTAGTTCACTGATGATTCAGAGGTTTCCTCAGGATAAAATAAATCTTACACTGAAACACTGGGTTCTGTTCTGTCAGACTCGGAGCTGCGTCTGGTGCTCGTCGGCTCTCAGAGGTTTGGGGTAAATGCTGTGGCCAGTTCCATTTTGGGCCTGGAGGGCCCGAGCGCCCAGGACTGGGGCAAACGCACGGCCCGCAGCGTGACCCGCTCTGCAGAGGTGAAGGGCAGGAGGGTGAAGCTGGTGAAGGCGCCCGCGTGGCTGCGGAGCTACCACCTCCAGGACACTGCGGAGCTGGTGAGACAGGAGCTGGTGCTGAGTCTGGCCCACACTCGGCCCGGGCCACACGCCTTCATCCTCCTGTGTGAGGTGGACCTGCCCTTCACCAGCGCCTGTGCCCGCGCTGTGGACGCTCACCTCAGCCTGCTGGGTCCACACGTGTGGGCTCACACTCTGCTGCTCTTCACCTGTGGAGACTGGCTGGGACACAGCTCCCTGGAGGACTACCTGGAGGGGGAGGGCTTACACCTGGCTCAGCTGTTGGACAGGTGCGGACACAGATACCTGCTGGACTCCACCAGCGCTCCTGACCTCAGCCGCAGACTCATGACCAAGGTCCAGGAGCTGCTGAAGGACAACGGGGGACAACACTTCCACATAGACGAGGACAGAATACAGAGGATTGTCCAGAGCAGAGAAGAGGTGAACAGGAGAGCGGAGCAGAGGAGGATGAGGAGGAAGAGGAGCGAGGAGGGGAGCCGAGCCCAGAGCCAGGGTGAGTGATAGAACCAGACTGAAACAAACACAAACACCTCCAGATGAATGTTTACACAGCAGGGACAGACTGAGCAGATCCACACTCCTGCACACACTGCTGGTGAAAGACACAAGTAACACTGAAGATAAGAGTTAACTACAGTTTATCTACTGAGCTCAGGATCATTAGAACATTAAAGCACAGGCAGAGCAAGAAAAACTTGGTCACAAACACTTTAAATTACACAACACATACAGTTCATGCCACAGTGACATGACACTTCCTCCCAAAAAAAACCCAGTGACACGTGTCATGGTTAAAGGTGCAGGACATTCCACAGGATTACATTAAACATATCTGTCTTGCATTTACTGAATTACTGGATTCAGAAAGAAAATACTTGGTCATGTCAAATCATACAGGAAAATAAAATGAAATAAATAAATCATAAAAATTCAATTCGGTTCTGTTCCTCTTTGCTTGTGTGCTTTTCCAGCCTGCTCCCTGTCTGAGATCACCATTGCTCTGCTGGGTTGGGTTTTCGCTGTAAAGACCAAAGTTCGCTGTGCTCTCCTCGGAGTCCCTGAATATGAAGGTCGCACTATGACGTGTACCAAGATCAGCGTTGGCCTGAGCGAGCATCTCAAACTCACTGTACTGGACGCTCCTGGGTGGTGGAAGTACTTCTCTCACAGTTTAGTCCCTCGGCACATCAGGACGGAGATCCAGCAGGTGTTCAGGGAGTACCAGGAGGCGGGGCGTCTGTCCACACAGGGCCGGGCGGTGCTCCTCATGATCCCGGCAGACACGTCCTTCACGCAGGAGCAGCTGAAGATCATACAGGACAACATGAAGCCTCTGGGCGAGCAGATCTGGAGGCGTACGATTCTGGTGTTCACGCGCGGTCACTGGCTCGGGGAGTTCACCATAGAAGATCACATCGAGAGCGAGGGGGAGGCGCTGGTGTGGCTGGTGGAGCAGTGTGGGAACAGGTGTGGAGAGTAGAGCTGTCACACTAAAACTCAACTTTCAATACTAAAGAACACACTCCATACTCAATACCCAGTGTTGGGAAGGTGACTTTTAAAATGTAATCCCCTACAGATTACAGATTACATATCCCAAAATGTAGTTTGTAACGTAATCCATTAAATTTCATAAAGTGTAATCTGAATACTTTGGATTACTTGATATTGTCATGTTTTTAAAACGACATGAATATAGCAACCACATCCTGAAAATTCTTGTTTGTTCTCTTCAAATTGAGCCCAAGTCTAAATGCACAGGCACAGGTTTACTGTAGAAACAAAGACGAGGATCTTAACATAAGATGTTTTATCTGCCAAAAGAAAAGAAAAAGCCCAGACTTTACTGAAGCATATTAAAAATATTATTGACAGAGAAATGATTTTTATTTGAGATCACTGCTGCCTTAAAGTATGTCCACCTACTGTTAAGTGTCATAATGTTAAGACCTGGTTTTAGACCTGGTTTAGTCCTAGTTTTGTCTTGGTTTAGTCCTGGTTTAGTCCTGGTTTAGTCTTGGTTTAGTCCTGTTTTAGTCCTGGTTTAGTCCTGGTTTTAGTTCTGATTTTAGTCCTGGTTTAGTCCTGGTTTAGTCCTGCTTTTAGTCCTGGTTTAGTCCTAGTTTTGTCCTGGTTCAGTCCTGGATTAGTCCTGGTTTAGACCTGGTTTAGTCCTGGTTTAGTCCTGGTTTAGTCCTGATTTTAGTCCTGGTTTAGTCCTGGTTTAGTCCTGATTTTAGTTCTAGTTTAGTCCTGGTTAATCCTGGTTTAGTCCTGGTTTTAGTCCTGGTTTAGTCCTGGTTTAGTCCTGGTTTAGTCCTGGTTTAGTCTGGTTTTAGTCCTGGTTTTAGTCCTGGTTTTAGTCCTGGTTTTATTTGTGGTTTAGTCCTGGTTTTAGTCCTGGTTTAGCCCAAAATGTGAAAACAGGAAAATACCGCCATGTAATCCATTTATTTCAACAAAGTAACTGTAATCCAATTACCACTCATTGAAACAGTAACTGTAACTGAATCCAGTTACTCATAATGTGTACTCTGATTACGTGATGCCAGTACATGTAATCTGTTACTCCCCAACACTGCCAATACCGATCCCGACAACCATGATCATGTCAATTTAGAACATGTCCGTCACCTGCTCGTGTAATGTTCCATGGTTTGACTTGAAACATTTCCATCTAGGATTTATTCATTGGGTGTTTCTTTTGCTCAAAAATATATGAATTATTTCTGTGAACAGGGACGACTCTCCACAGATCTGAATTGTAAAGTAATGTAGTGCTGTAACCCGCTCATCTCCAGGTTTAATCTACACTGTGGAATATTTGAGACCAGAGGTTTTCGTGCAGCATCGTTTAGTCCTGGTTTAGTCCTGAATTTAGTCCTGAATTTAGTCCTGGTCTAAACCTTCTTTTAGTCCTGATTTTATTCATTTTGGTCCAGGGGTCGTATCCAACCTACTTTGATCCCAAAGGAGCCGGATCAGAAAACTCATGTCATATAAACCCCAAAAATAAGAATAAGTTCAAATATTTGTGCAGAGAAACACAAATCTATTACAGAAATCTTTTTTAATTGATGAACTCTTTCTTTTACAAAATATTATAATATTATGAACAACCTGAAACTTGAAGAAAAATAAAATTTCAACACAATGTTTGAACATGAACTTGTCTGTAAACAGGAATAAGTCCATTTTTGTTGTAAAATCCTGCACTCGGCTCCACTTTTCTCATGTTGGACATTTTTCTGATGAGGGTGTCACGGTCAACAGTCAAAACGATCGTCCTTTAAGAGCGTTTGGAAAGAGACAAGTCTTCATTTGTGCTGCTCTGGTGGGAGGGGCCACGTACAGAGACACTGGAGACACTGCTATGATAAGCGACGCAGAAAATTACCAACATTATATATATATATTACATAGAAAATATAATTAAAATATTTTAGTAGAAAATCTGCTGAGGGGGCCAGATCCGGCCCTCCAAGACCTTTAATCTGGCCCCCGGGCCATATGTTTGACACCCCTGCACTAGATGGTTTGTAAAAACCCCTGAAGTGCAAGTTCGGCCACCAGCCAATCAGCAAAGGGTCATAACGTTCTGTGTTGTCAACAATTCCCGAGAGCGAGGATTTAAAGCTGGAACAAAGAGAATGTTTGGTGAATTTTATAAAGGGGAAAGATGTTATTGTCCTTCTTCCTACAGGATTTGGGAAAAGCTTAATATACCAGTTAACCCTGTTATTACATACATCACGACCAAATAGCAGCAATTGGTTAAATAATAAAAAGTACCCACCTACTGTCGAGCAAATAAATTCAAAGACTGCGAGGTCAGACGGTTTGTACGAAGTGAAACCGTCTGAAGAATCAGGATAGCTCAAATGAGGATCTAGTTTCAATAATAGTTTTAGTGTAGATTTGTTGTCTTACAACAAAACCAAATGAAGTTTTGCTTTGAACAGGTACTTTGTGTTTGATGGAGATGCAGACCAGAGTGGACTGAAGGCTCAGGGGCAGCAGCTCATCCAGATGGTTTTGGACCTGTGCACGTCCGGACCAGATCCACACCAAAACCCTGAACCAAACACAGCACAGGAACCTGGAGAAGAGCCTGAGGGTAATTCAATCCTGTATTATTTCTATGAGATATCTTCACTAAAGAGTTTTCACTGCTCATTTCAACAGCAGCACTGATTCCACGTTTGTATTTTTTAATCAATTCAAAGCTAAATTGTCTTGTCACTTGGCCAGGTAAATAAAGGCAGTTGAAAAAGCACAAAATCACAACAAAACATGTTTTAAAAAAGAAAAAAAAATCCAAACTTTACTGAAAAAAATCATTTAAATATCACCAAACTAGTTGAATATTGCAAACTTGTATAGATGCATCAAGAATCTCGGACTTTCATCGCACAATTCATACTGGGAAGGATTTTCCAAAAAAGTGAGCATCAAACCTCCGTGTTTGTTTTCCCAGTGGGATGAGTCTGTTGACAAAGTCGAACTTTTCAAGTCTTTTGAACCATATCACTTTTGTTTCTGGTTCTGATATTGTCATATTTTAGTTTTGGGATTCGGACATTGTAATTGTGTGCTTGTTGGATCCTAACAGCAGAAAACGGCTCGAGAAATGTGTTTGTGAACTCCATAAATGCAAAAGTGAATCAGATGTGTGACTCAAACCTCTGTTCAAACTGTTTCTCTTCCCAACGGAACTGAAAAATAGTGAAATACCACACTGTTTTGCATCAGGTCCCACGGGTGCAGGGCTCTAAGTTGTAGTCATGTTTTCAGCAGTTATCTCTTTGTAGTGTTAAAATAAAGCCTTTTTTAAATAAAGTATATTTTATTTAGCAGATCAACCAAAATAAAATATTATCGGCCAATAACCAATAAGATAAAAAGTCCAAATATCGGCCAACAGAAATGTCACTCTATCTCTAATTAATACATGGAGCAGTTACCCCTAAACCAGAAGATATCCACTGCAGTACCTAAAGTAACATAAGACAACCTTTATCAGTCCCACAATGGGGAAATTTCAGTGTTGCAGCACACAGTTCATGAACAGCAAGTGATTGGAAATAGGCACTCAAAAATCAAGATAAATGAATATTAGAAAGTAACTGTAATCTAATTACCACTCACTGAAACAGTAACTGTAACTGAATACAGTTACTCATAATTTGTACTCTGATTACATAACTCCAGTACATGTAATCTGTTACTCCTCAACACTGGCCAAGTGTGATGGATGAATTGAACTAATTGTTTATGGAACAAATCATTCTGCCCTGGAGCTCTGTAACACTTTATTTTGTAACTGTGTGTGTTTTTTATACATGTTTGTTGTACATAATGTGGATGAATAGAATGTGAAATGTGGGACCTGCCTCAAATCTGAAAGGCAAATTTACCTACGGGTACGAAAAAATCAACCTAATCTAAAACTCAAGATGACAATGTTCACTAAAAAGGTTAGATTAGGTTTGATGTAGTTTCATGCACTGACACTTGACCAAATGAGTGTCTAGTTCTGATACCAGTTTAAGTATCTTTTAGTATCTGACTTTCTATATTTGACATACATACATTTTGACAACTCATGTTTTGTTGGTGCAGAGGAGCCAGTGGATGAAGACCTGAGGAAGATGGTGGGCGTCCTGCACAAGGTCTGGGCCTGGGGCTCATGGGAAATCGAGGAATTGGCGGCGAGATTTTTTGAGCGACCTTTGTACGAGTTTGCAGATATGGCAAGCATGCACCTCACCAATGTGTGTAAGTCAAACAGTGGCAGAGTTGAAATACCAGATTTGTGAGCTTTACTATGTCGGAAAAAAAGATGTGAAAAGCACTTACAAAGTCACCGGTTGGGAAAATGCAAACTGTTAACTCTATTTTTCATGTTTTTGAGACAGTAAAAATACTATTATTATTACCTATTACTTACTTATGTATGTGGGTATGGATTTATTTGGCAGGAACAATGCAGAAGGAGTAAAAATTAATAAATAAATAAAAAACTTGCAGCAGGTGTAATGAATAAAGAGCAATGTCAGACTCAGGCACTCAAAAGTGAAAAAATGCACCGCACACTCAGATGGCCGATGTCCAAAAGCTTATTTATTTTCAAAATAACATTTCAGGAAAAAAAAAAAAACACTGTGTGCTGTGGTCCAAAGCAAGAAAAATATCTGATGAAGGCTTTTTGTGTTGAAACTTTATTTTAAAAAGAAATAAGCTGTTGGCCATGGGCCATCTGAGTGTGCTGTGCATTTTTTCACTTTTGTCTGGCTGTTCCTTACATTTGCACCACTACTAGAATTTTGGTGTGCATTTTCTTTTTTTTTTTTTTTTTTTTTTTTTGAGACTCAGGCACTCAGACAATACTACTATACTTGTATCTAAGAAGAGATGCCAAGTATTTGTATATCTGTATCTGCGTTGGACCCGTGTGCATCAAAGTAAATCTCAGTCTAACAAACTGAGCTTGGATGAATGTTTTTCTCGATTTTTAAGTGTTCATAGTTGAAAGATGGATTTTCATTGAAGCAAGTTATTTTTGACTGGTTGCTGGCTTGTGAAAAAAAAAAAATTAAAGGAGTTCAAAAGCTACAGATACGTCATAGAGACATTTTGCTTTTTATTATTTATTATGTTGTTATTATTTTATATTTTGCTTGCTTCTGGATTCAATGTTTAAGCAAAACTATTATTAAACATTTATTTGAATAAGAAAAGATTTAACATTAAATATCTCAAAAGAAGAGAAAACAATAAATAATTCAATAAATATTTAGTTTGGCTCACGACTTAGTTTTAGTCTCAGTTTTTAACTTTGGCCTCTGTGAATTTGAGTTTGACTCTCCTGATATAGAGCATATGAAAAGTGGTCATTGTGAAGTTTTAGTTGAGCTTTTTTATACTGAATAATGAATATACTATAAGACACATTAAATATTACTCCACTGTAAATACATTTCAATTAACATTTAAATGTAGCTTTGCTTTTGCTTCAGCTTTTCATAAATAATCCAGGAAAAGCTGCTGAAAAGTGTTTTGTTCTGTGAAAAGCAGACAAGTCTATAGATCAGTGACAAGGTCGACTGCTGTATTTATTCAACATATTATAAAGTACAACCTCCTTTAGAGTGAAAGTGCTCTGCCCTTGTTTCCTAGTCTTCTCAGAGGAGGATACATTCCTAGTGCCTCAGGCTAGTACCAGCAGAGTGAAAATGACTTATGGAAAGCAGCCAAAATGTTTCGATCATAAAACTATGTTCAGATGGCCGCCATTAAACGCCTCTCTACACTGAATGACTCTAACACAGACTTGTGTTGTGTTCAGTCAAAGGCTCATCAGATGTGCGTCTGATCAAACAGCCCCGAGAGGTGGTGGAGACGATCCTGAGGGAGGAGATGAGAGGAAAGACTCTGGAAGAGGTGGTGGACACCGCTCTGCAGATCTACTTCAGGAAGGAGGTTGGAGCCTTCGGTGAGGATCAAGATGCCAAATAGAGATCTGTTCATGTGCTACATTTAAGACCATCTGTGAATTAAAGCTTTCATCATACTAACATTTCAAATTCAGTGTAGGATTCAGGAATATACTCAATTCCAATATCACAATGGTATTTTTTTTTTCTTTAGTCAATAGATGGTCTTATATGTGTGTAATCCTTCAGTGGCCCAAGGAGGTTCTGAAGTGGACCATGTGTGTACACTAGTCTATGTGCTCTTATACTTGTTCTGATCCAGCTCAACATCATTCTTAAAGCTGTTCAGGAAAGTGTTCAGTACTTCACATGAGCATCTAGTTTTATACTAGTGTTAGAATCTGATTTTCTTCTTTTGACAGCTCTACCCTAAGGACAACAAGACCTAAACAGGTCTTCCCTCTGTCTTATGCCTTAGGTCTTCTTTATGTTTGTGTCTGATTTTAAAATTACTTGGTAGTTTGGTAAAAATATTAAATTACAATTTCTCTGACAATTGTGATTGTGATTAAATTTGTGATTTGTCTTTTAATAACAGGATTCTGTTCAAGATTCATTTTAAACACATCCACAAGACTTGACAAAAGCCTGAACTATAAACTAGTACAAGAATTACATTTCAGTTGTTTTTTTTTTTTGTGGTTTTTATGCAGAAATATTTTTGTTTATTTTAGTGGAACTTATGGCACTTTAAAAATTGCATCTTTGTGATTTGCCAGTTGCCGTTCAAATAGTGAAATGATCTGTTTGTGATTCATCTTACAGCCTTAACCTAACCACCGTGTCCTCTTGTGCTGTTTAACAATGTGTGATAAAGCAGAACAGTTTGTTTTACCTAGACAGGTCTTCAGCCTTCTGTTACTGGGCATTAAACTGACTTTATCTACTCCTCTGTGTTTGGTGTGTGTGCAGACATCGTGTCCATCATCTGTGAGAAGGACCAGTTCAAACCAGAGTGGAAGAGTCTGTTTGAGAGAGAATGGGCCAGACGTGAAGTCAGGCTCAAGGAATATGTGTTTAACCGATATGTCCGAGCAGGTACACACTTTACCTTTGGCAATGTAAGAAATACAGGAACCTTTAAATGGTCTTTAAAATATTTAAAATGTCCCAAACTCAAAAGCTAAATACATTAAATACACTCTCAGTTTTTTTTACTTTATGTGTAATACTTTCTACATTTTAGATACACACAGAATGATGTAGGAAAAGAAAAGTTAAATCATTTTGCTAAATATTTTTTACATTTTATATTTAAATACTGCACCCTTTGCTTTGACGACTGTGTTGAAAACTCTCGTCCCTCCCCCTGTGAGGTTCGTGATGAAGTCTCCTGAAATGGTTTTCACTTCAGCTGTGCCTTGTCAGGGTCATGGAATGTCCATTACCAAAAGTGATCAAAGCAAAGGGTGGCTATTTAAAATAATCTAAAAAAGAAAATGTCACTTTTCTGGTGGGGGTACAGTATGTTACCAGGTGTCAGTACTTTGCCTGGTTCCATGGTATGGCATTACCCACACTGAAAATCATGGATTCTTATTGTGAGCAAAGTAGAAACTTTGCCATGGAGACAAGCAGCTGACTGACCCTCCACAGGATTATTACAAGTGTCAGTTTGTAGGATTAAATAAATGAAGTGAAATCCTCTGTGTTTGTCTGTGTTTCCCTCAGGGGCAGATGAGGCGCGGAAACTGATGGAGAGCCATTACAAAGTGTCCAGGTGGCTCGACGCCATGCCCCCGTCCATAGAAGACCTGGTGAAAGTTGTCACGCTCAAACTGCAGTCTGCGCTCTCTCAGTCGCTCCTGTCTGGACCTTTGAGTCGGAGCAGCTCTCCAGAAGTGTTTGTTATAGTGTGAAAATTTGATTGTCTTAAAACATATCTGACAAATGCCGTTGCAGTTCACTTATTAGAGCTCACAAACACAGACTTATTCATCTGAACAGAGGCATCTGAAGTGTGTTGCCCATGGACACTACAACATACATTGGCCAAAGCTGCAAATGAACCTGCACCTTTGAGTCAGTGCAGTGACGTTGTTGTTTCTGATCACCTATATACCCAGTATATCTTGACTCAGGTAAGGACCTATGAAAAGAAAATGACTCAGGGTTCAAGTGATAAAAGTTATGGTGGTAATGAAGGATTGATGTTTTTATTTATTTTTTGATAATGGGACATTGTAGCTCCTGCTGAAGGCTGGTTTATGCTCAAGTATTAAAACGCAAATGTGCTGCACAATGGACAAACAGCCAATCAGAGAGCTCTGATGCACCTGACAGCCAATCAGAAAGTTCAGTGTCAAACCTGACCGCCAATCAGAGAGCACTGATCACCTGAGAGCCAATCAGAAAGCTCTGAGGTCCATTAAAATGTACACTTAAGTTTAATGTGATTGTCTATTGTCTGAGTAAATAATTCAGTAAGTATGAATTCACCTTCAACATGACAACCCTAGTCACAGTTCAGGTGTGAGTTGTGAGGTGTGCTGTTAGCATGCTAGTTGTTGTTGGTTATCAACAACAACTAGCATGCTAACAGCACACTGTTGTTACTTCCCGGTTTATGGCTGATCATTTAAAAAACTGCACTGTAACATACACATTGGATGTGCAGTATTTCTGTGGGTGACATGAATAGGCCTGTTACACACATTCTGAAGCAGCATTTATCACTAAAGAGAAACATCATGATAAACAGTAAGAATTAAAGTACTGACAACATGACAATAAAGACGGAGAATCCCAGGAAAACATTTTAAATAGAGAGTATCATTAAAAGACCTGAGCTGCAACAGATAAATAGTAGAATCAAACCATAAAGTGACTCATTTAACCCTCTACAGCTCAAATTTTACCATATGAAAACTACAATAACAAAAATCTCCCCACTATTGCAAAAATAAATGTAAATGTAAATGTACACACAATAAATACTGCGCCCAATTTAATAGTAGTAATTATCATGACAGGCTTATACAGCACATATGCATCTCTTAACTTCTGCATTTATGTTTTGACTTGTTTGGCCGTTTTTAACATTTGAAAATAATCCAATAAACACAAATGTATTTTTGTATGTGTGTGTCCCTCCTCTGTATTATATAATCACTGTTCCTCTTCTGTGCCACATATTTTCTTGCTTCATTCTTTCTCTTATCTCTCTGAGCACATTCTGGGCGTGTCTCACATAAATACCATAACCAACATACCATTTGATTTTCAGTGAATGACAGTTGGTAGTACACAGTCGGAAAAGCATATGTGGTTGCCTCCCATAAATTCAATCTAACTAGGCCTGAAAATGTGAAATAAAATTATCGTTGTACTGTGTAAAAGCATTGGAACATAGGGTAGAAAAAAGCGTTACCGGTATCTGGCTCCTTTAAGTAAAGACAATATAAATATGACAATAAGAGTAATTCATAAGTGGTTAAAACAGATTCAAAAAAACAGAATCAGTGGTGAAAAGGAATTTAAATGTTTTTCTGTGTAAACTGTAAAACTGTGAGGTAATAGGTATTCAGAGCTAATGTTACAGATTAGTTTTTCAGTACAGGTATTGCATTTGAAGTAGTACTTGGATATACAAAGGCCCTGTTCACACTAATATGTATTTGATTCATTTTTGTTGTGGATGCAGTGTTCGTTCACACTATTCCACTGAAAACGGCTCCAGAGACAGAACGATCTGGTGCCTCCAGCTCCCACAGATTCATCTGAGTACAGATCTGATCTGACACTGTGTGGACGCCTGAAAACACTGATACTCTGACGTAGGTCTGTGCACCACAAAGTAATTCACCACCAAAATGCTAAGAGGGTAGAATATATGTCCATTAATACCTATGTGTATGACCTGCATGTAAGAACATTTAAGTAATGTATCTTCCATGAACATCTCAGTTTAACATTGACACAAAAGCTTTATTTACACCATGATCTTCACTTGGCACACCTTTGGCACCATTATCTAAATTGTGGCATATTTCTGTCTAACTGGTGTCTGCTGGTCTTCATAGTCTCACCACACTTGCTTTATAAACCTCCTCTTTTGGAAGCAGAGTCAAGGGGCTTGAACACTCAAAGATCAAACTATGTTCACTTTTGAAATCAAACTATGTTGACTTTTCTAGTCCCCCAGGCCTGTGTTATTGATGGTAAATAAACTTCTACTGTGTAAGACTCCAGTTAGTCTCCAGCCTTTTACTTCCACCCTTTCTTGGTAAAGCTGAAAACTTCGACAACACTGCAGACGTATAATCTCTGAAAAGTTTCACATGAACCATCTGCAATGAGACAGAAGCACAGAACAGACTCACCATCAGCAGAACACCCTCTGTCACAGAAAGAACACTCATATTCCACTGAGTTGGGTCCTTCAGTCTGACAGAAGCTGAACCACATCAGCGCACAATAGCGAACTGTTTTCTGAGCTCAGTTTATGCAAATTAGCCATGTGGTTTTAAGTTTTGTTTCTTTTTGGCAAAAATTATATCTCTCTTGAAGATAAATAATGAATAAATTTGCAAAGCCCGATGAGTTTTTGGAATATAGACCAAGGTTTATTCTTGTTACAGCAGATATGGACAAAGCCTACGCCTGCCCTGGCCACAGCCTAACAGCCTCTCCTCCAGCAGCATGTCACTACTCCATTTGACCCGAGTCTCTGCCCAAGTATCTGCCCCAATGTTACAAAGCACCAAGTTTATCTAGCCTGAGATGACCAGAAGACACACCTTTCAAAGTGAGAAGGTGACGACTCCTACTGAAGTGTGGCCAGATGTGCTTGATCTGATTTGCTCTATATTCACCTGCATTTGTCATTTCCTCACAAGATAAGCAAGCAAAAGGGAACAGAGGTATTTAGTTGAGTTTTAGTTTACAAGACCAACTGTGTTTCTAAAAGATAAACTAATCACTATTTTAATGTAATCAGTCATAATCAGTATTTTCCTGTGTTGGTCTGGTCTCAGGTAGAAATCACATTCATTTACACAAAGACAGAATGAGAGAACATTTTTCCACAATCTAAATTTCTATCACGGTTTCTGTAAAATGTAAACAAATATGCTCAAAGTTGTGTGGATAGGGAAGGATTGCAGACACAGAAATTACATGTCTGAATGCAAATCGTTATCAATATGGTGACACAGTGATTCGTTTCAGTGTAAACGTAGCCAAAGATAATATTTCAGAACATCATGTATCAAGCGATCTCCTGTATTGACTTTTGTTATTATTAGGGCTGAGAATGGCAGGGTCTTTCATGATTCAATATGATACAAGATACGATGTCATGGTGATACATGTGATAATCAACATAATACACATGTACTCGATGGAAACATGTGAATGAAACAAAACACAACTCCAGGTCTGTTTGTGATGATGGAACAACATTAGAACAAACAGAAAATCACTGAATACAGAGTTTACATTGGTCTAAACTGTATTCCTATCATCCGATGGTTTTATAAAACCTTTTACAACTTTCTGTGTGGATGGAGTTTGCATGTTCTGCCTGTGTCTGGGTGGTCACTTTGGTTTCCACTGTGAATCCAAACATGCGCCATAGGTCAGATCCTCCAGTTAAATCAGTCCTGACCAAGACTAACTCAAGATCTGGAGATGGGTCCCACTACTCTTGTCCAGAGACACTGAAGGATGGGCCAAATGCAGACGACACATTTCCCTGTTTTGCCATCACTCTATTGCTAACAACAAGTGTTTGAATGGTAATAACGCTTTATATTTATATGCAGACAGTACACAGCGCTCTTATTTTGACCCTAAGAGTTGCTTTTACAGTATATTTGTGCTGCCAACCCCACCAGTAATACGTCAGATGAAGAAAAGAGGCAGAGCACTTCACTGGGTCATAAAAAAGTAAAAAATAGCAGTACAGGTGCTCTATGAGGGTTAAACTGTTAATCTTAACAGAAAGATACTCTTACTGAAAAGCATAAAAACTGGGCAAGGTACAAACCCAAACTGAATATATAATATAACATAATGAACTGAGAATAATGTTTATGCCCTGACGAAGACCATCTTGCTGGTTGAAACGCGTTAGTGTCTCTTCATGCAATAAAGGACTTTTAATATATTCAGTTGGAGTGCCTTGGGTTTGTACCTTGCTCACTCTTACATTTTTCAGAAAGGGTACCACATCCAACTCTTAATAACACTGAACTGGTTGCACTGTTGCATGTTTTTGTCATGATTCTCAGGTGTCTGTCTGAATGTCCCTGTCTGGGCACGTTACTTGACATCTCATGTTGTACTGAGGCCACACTGGGTCAGTGTTTACACTTGGGTTTAAGGGGTATTTATTATTTATGGGTTTGCACTTTATGGGATGCTCCAAACGCAATTTTACTGTTGTTCTTCTGTGACAATGACTAGAAGTTGAAATAAACAAACAATAAACAAACATACATTTTTCAGTAAGGGTAACTTGAAGTCCTCTTTTCTTCATCTGACGTATTACTGGTGGGGTTGGCAGCACAAATATATTGAAAAAGCAGCTCTTAGGGTCAAAATAAAGAGTGCTGTGTACTGTCCGCATATAAATATAAAGTGTTATTATCATCCGAAACCAGAGAGTAACACTTGTTGTTGTAACTTTCTGTTAAGACCACCAATAATAATTTTACTTTTGATGTGACTGCCACCTGACTTTACCCTTTCTGTTCCAGAGTACACGGAAAACCACATTCCAGTTTTGTTTTTGTGAATTCTGGTGATACTGATGAAACCGGTTAGAGTGCCTACATGTTTTGTTTGGCCTGATACTAGAGCTCACAGGTAAAAAATCTCATTTGCGTTTGCTTTTACAATGGTGCGGAGAGCAGCTTGTCCACTCTGTCATGGAAGAGACAATGTCCAGTGGTGAGTTTGAACATTCATTTTACTTTTTAGTTTATTAAATAGACTAAATAAACCAGAGGCGAGGCACGGGGTCATATAGTCATCGTTTCATTAACATGGCAACAAATGAAAATACAGACCTCAGACACAAATGGTCTTTTTTGAGTTTCATTCTGCAGCAGAAGGAGACAGTGTAACAGTGTAACAGAGACAGTGTATTTAGAAGAGTACATGGATAGTTGTTTGGGAACCTGTGATTCACTATGGACTTCATCTAACCTGTACAGACATGTCTCACCGCACAGACGAAATATGAGGCATGCTGATTTAAGCGTAATCTGCCCACATTACACTTTTCTGATCTATGTTATAATGTTTCTTCATCACCAACATACCTGGAGATGTGATGTAGAGGTCTGCGAGAGACAGAGTTTTCATTCCCACTCCCACCTGCATCTGCGATATTTTGTCCCTCTCCCACCCGCAAATCCCGGAAGATGGGGACGTTCTCTTTCTTAAGCTCTATCAAACAAGGAGAGGCGGAAAGGAATTGTCTAAAATGTGCATGAGATAGACGACATCTGCAAGTTTAGGCTGCTTAAAATGTATTTATTAATGCCAAATAAAATATCCAGCACAAATGATGTATGACGGTCAAACTTGAATCATTTATATATTTTACTTTACACTCATATTTAGTTTGCGGGACTGCAGTTTATCATCACACCAGCCCGCTCCCACATTGTGCAGTCTCACTTCTGCCTGCGTGATGGAATTGCCCATCTCTATTGCACTGAAGGTAAAAGGAGCTGTTAACTTGAAAACTACTGTTTCATGACATCACCAGGTGGAACAGAGCATTTTGATCTTTGAAGATGTATTCAAACATGTGTGAATGAAACAAAACACAACTCCAGGTCTGTTTTTGAGCAGACAACAACATTCTAACATGATTTAAAGCTCACGAGAGTCACTTGGTGTAATATAGGACCTGTAAGTGGGTCAGAACACGACATGTGCATGTTCACCTCTGATGACTGGCTCATGTCCCAGGGTCAAATCAATGCAGTTGTTCTGCACAGCTCCTGACACATCTGACAGTATCACAAAGCTAGTGGTGTTTGCTGTGTTCTGTACATGCACCTCAGCCAAACTGTTGCTTTGTGTTGAATTTCCACAGAGCACAAGGGCTGGACTGGTTGATCCACAAAGACTAAACAGACTGATGAAAAACAAAAAAGCTTGGAGCAGCTGCAATTTAGGACAGACATGTCTGCAGATGAGCCTCATGTGATTATTGTTCTAGTAAATAAATAAATAAATGCAAATAAAATCATTTGGATTCCCATGATGCTCCTTGGCCCTGATTAGCTCCTCAGAAGTTTGTATAGTTCAGGACTGACTCTGGACTAAACCAGCCTTCATGCACCACACTCCCAGACGCACACTCACACACAAACGCACTCACAGACATCCTCATATCCCTGTCTCAGTTGTCCATTTATTTCTAATGGCTTTTTTAAACACTGATACTGACTCAGATTTGTGTTTGTGTTCAGACTCGCCTGCAGACCTGCGGCTCGTCCTGCTGGGCTCGCAGAGGTTTGGGGTGGCCTCAGTGGCGAACAGGATCCTGGGGGGAGCAGAGGAGATTCAGTGGGGGATGTGTAACACCCACAGCCTGAGTCGCACTGTGGAGGTGGAGGGAAGGAAGGTGCAGTTAGTGAAGGCCCCAGTCTGGTTCAGAGGGTACCACCTTAAGGACACTGCGGAGCTGGTGAGACAGGAGCTGGTGCTGAGTCTGGCCCACACTCGGCCCGGGCCACACGCCTTCATCCTCCTGTGTGAGGTGGACCTGCCCTTCACCAGCGCCTGTGCCCGCGCTGTGGACGCTCACCTCAGCCTGCTGGGTCCACACGTGTGGGCTCACACTCTGCTGCTCTTCACCTGTGGAGACTGGCTGGGACACAGCTCCCTGGAGGACTACCTGGAGGGGGAGGGCTTTCACCTGGCTCAGCTGTTGGACAGGTGTGGACACAGATACCTGCTGGACTCCACCAGCGCTCCTGACCTCAGCCGCAGACTCATGACCAAGGTCCAGGAGCTGCTGAGCGCCAACGGGGGACAACACTTCCACATAGACGAGGACAGAATACAGAGGATTGTCCAGAGCAGAGAAGAGGTGAACAGGAGAGCGGAGCAGAGGAGGATGAGGAGGAAGGAGGGAACTAAGACAAAACCAGGTTTGCAAAGGGTCTTCTGCAGCTTTAACATTCTGAACATGAAGCTGGGTGTGCACTGACTGCAGGGGTCCTGTTAGACTTGTGTTTACACTAACATGCAAATTTAGTACTTTGTGCAGGTTACTTACAGATTGCCTGTCACACCCACTACAAAAACTGCACTGCACTGGTTAAATCAACACCGACCTCTGCACCAAAGGTCAGTGTAGTGGGTGCAGAGGTCAGTGTGACAGGTGCAGAGGTCAGTGTTTGGAAGGAGATTGATTTGAATGACTTTCTAAATCTCACAGAACCAGTGTGAGTTGTGAACTTGCAGTCAGTGTCCACTTGGCCTTACAAAGTCTTTAAAATGAATCCGTTCTCTCCCTGATCTCGGCAGAGTTCTAGTCTAGGCAGGCCCAGATCTACAGTGGTGCAAAACGGTGCTCTGCAACCTCATTTTAGGCTGGCTAAATAATGACACTTACTGGGAGATTATTGTCGCCTCTTTGAAACGCATATGTGCCCACAGTCACTCTGGACTCATCACTGTGTCTGGGTGAGGCGCAGGTCTGTGGTTGTTTTTTTAGAATAGACATGTGTTACAACATGGCCCCACATTAAACCATACTGTTTGTTCAAACACACAGCAAATGTTGTAGTTGTGTGACATGCAATCTGTAAGTAACCTGCTCAAAGAACTGAACCCAGCCTGCAGTCAGTGTATATGCTTGTTATACACTGCTCCTTCTCTTTTTATTGTGAGGGAGCAGCAGGTCTACTCCAAGCTCCTTGCGCCAACATCTCAGTGTCACCTTGTTCTTTTGCTCATGACTAACTGCTCACTATTGTTGTTGGAGATTAAATAAATAAAATGTCTTAACCATGTGCATGGTTGATGTCACTGATACGGTGCAGGAGAATAATCACAATGCCTGTGCTGTGCTGTTTGTTGTTGCAGATTCCCTCATGTCTAAAATAACCATCATGCTGCTGGGTTGGGTCTTTGCCAACAAAACCTCCGTCTATGGTGCTCTCTGTCCCTCGCTCCTCCCTGAAGTTGACGGGCGAACAGATAAATGTGTCAGTAGCTCCAGGAGGGTGACAGTGGGCTCCTCCTCCGTGTCCCTAACCGTAGTGGACATTCCCGGGTGGTGGAAGTTCTTTGACGCCTCTTTGGTCCCCAGCGGTGTCCGAGCGGAAATAAACAAAGCATTTGATAAGGCAAAAGCAGCCCAACAAACCCCATACTCAAGAACAGCCTTTCTTCTGATGCTGCCGGCAGATACCTCTTTCACACAGGAGCAGCTCGGGATTCTAACCCAGAACCTGCAGCCTCTGGGGGACACTGTCTGGGAGCAGACCATCCTGGTGTTTACTGGAGGTCACTGGGTGCAGAACTTTGATGTGGAGCTGCACATTGAGGCTGAGGGAGAAGCTCTTGTCTGGCTGGTGGAGCGCTGTGGAAACAGGTGAGTATTCTACATACTTTTACATCAACTTAAATCTAATATGTTTTTACTCAGTCAATCTGGAACCTCAACGTCCACATGGGTAAAGACCTTGAAATTTGGATGGGCCTGTAAGACCTGCTCTGAACCCAAGCGCTGTTGCTGTTACTGGACTTGTGTTAGTCCGTTACAGTGTGGCGTGTGGCCACTCTCATGAACTTGTGTTGCTGTGCTACAGACCTTTGCAATCGGAAAGGTCAGCAGGTTGTTTTAAGAGGCATGTGTACTAATGACCACAACAGGCTCACACAGCACTTAAATGATGATCCACTGGAATGTGTGTGTGTGTATATATATATATATACACACACACACACATATATATATATATATATATGGACAAAATTGTTGGTACCCCTCTGGCAATAGAAGAAAAATCAGCAATAATCACTGAAATAACTTGAAACTGAGAAAAGTATTAATAAATAAAAATTTACTGAAAATTGTCCAACAAACAATAAACATTGTTTTACACTTGTGGTTCAACAGAATCATTAGAAAAAAACAAAATAATGAAACCTGGACAAAAATGATGGTACCCTTAACTTAATATTTTGTTTACGATTTCTGTAAGTGTCAGTGAGACTTCTGCTCTGGTCAACAGGTATTTTGACCCATTTCTCGTGAGCAAACTGCTCTAGTTGTCTCAGGTTTGAAGGGTTCCTTCTTCACACAGCATGTTTCAGCTCCTTTCACAGATTTTCAGTAGAATTGAGATCTGGGCTCACAGAAGAACACTCCAGAACAGTCCAATGTTTTGTTCTCAGCCATTCTTGTGTGTTTTTAGCTGTGTGTTTTGGGTCATTATCCTGTTGGAAGACCCATGACCTATGACTGAGACCAAGTTTTCTGACACTAGGCGACACATTTCAGTCCAAAATACCTTGATAGTTTTGAGATTCCGTTGTATTTTGCACAGATTCAAGACACCTTGTGCCAGATGCAGCAAAACAGCCCCAGAACAAAACCAAGCCTCCTCCGTGTTTCACAGTAGGGACAGTGTTCTTTTCTTGGTCTGCTTCATTGTTGCATCTGTGAACATAGAGCTGATGTGTCTTGCCAAAAAGCTCTAGTTTTGTCTCAACTGTCCAAAGGACATTCTCCCAGAAGCTTTGTGGCTTGTCAGTTTGCATTGTGACAAATTCCAGTTTCACTTTTTTATGATGTTCTCTCAGCAGTGGTGTCCTCACATGAAGTCCACTTTGGCTCAAATGGTGACAGATGGTGTGATATGACACTGATGTACCTTGCCCTTCACATTTAATTTCTTTGGCGGTTGTTCTGGGCTTTTTGTTTCCATACGTATGATCCATCTCTTCAATTTGTCATCAGTTTTCCTCTTGCAGCTGCGTCCAGGGAGGTTGGCTTCAGTCCTGTGGACCTTAAACTTGTGAAGAACATGTGTAACTGTAATCACAGGAACCTCAACAAGGCCGGGTCTGTGTGGTACTTGGATGGGAGACCACTGGGAAAATCAGGTGCCACAGTGGGTCGCCAGTTATTAGGTTATTACTTAGTCAAGACACTTAAACCACATTGCCTAGTATGAAAGTGGTGTGTGAGTGATGGTGGTGCTTCACATCTTCTAGGAGACTTTCAGATGGTATTTCACTTAGCTTTTGTAACTGGCATCAGTGTTGCCTTGTGTTCATTCTGGCCATGATTTTATCTTTCAGGTCAGTCGCTGCCTCATTCAACGTGATACTTATTGGGACTTCGTACCCAGTCTTTGCTTGGGGAATTGGTGTTAACTCCCCTCTGACTGAATATCCTGGCTCCCCCTTGCCGTAGCATTTGTGTTATACCTCGTCAATAGCAGTTGCCTTTTGTGGATGTAGAAACACTGAGCTACTATTTGTAACCCTAGTCCTAGGTTTTTTTGTTTGTTTGTTTTTTGTTTTGTTTTTTTAAATATATACTCTATTCTTAATTTGTATTAAGTTAAGATGATATTATTAAAAATAACTAGGTATAATTTTTCAAACAGGTATTTTGTGTTTGACACTGAAGCAAACAAGAGTGGACTAAAGACTCAGGGGAAAAAGCTGATTCAGATGGTTTGGGACCTGTGCCAGAGCAAACCAATGAAAGGAAGGACAACCAGAGGCAAACACCAAGTTCTCACCAAAGACTGCCCTGAAGTCTTCACAGACGATCCCCCTCAAGTCCTCACTAAAGATCCTGCTTTGGCCAAAGCTCAGACCTCAGTGGACGAGGACCTGAGGAAGATGGTGGAAGTCCTGCACCAGGTTTGGGGGTGGAGCCAGTGGGAGATCCAGAAAATCAAGTCCAGACTGGACCTAAGACCAATCCTGCAGGTCAGGGACAACAGGAGCGTGTTTACACCTACCGGTAAGTTAAAGTTTAATACTTTTACTACTATAGTAGTAGTTTAATCTTTGAATAATACCATAATCTTGGTTGCACTGTACGGGTTTTTTGCTTCATTCTCGAACACTACAACTCCCTTAATGTTCTAGACTTAGACCTAGATCAACTTTTTGATCCTCACGAGAAATTATTTGAACAAAGTAGCTTACACATTACAATATATACTGAATACAAACATTGTAAGGAACAAAAAAAATGTTGTTACAAATATGGACAGAGCAATGTCTTAGGAACAAAAGGATGCCACCTCTTCTAATGGAAATGAACAACAGTTACACTAGAGTGGCACCAATGAGACAACCCCAAAAACAGGGCTGGTTTTACATGTGGAGGTAAGTTTAAGTTTCTCTTGTTTGTTTGTTTGTTTGTTTGTTTGGGGTGTTTTTTTGGCTGGTTTTCCAATAGTACTGCTTTGGCTAGAGTGATTCGTACTGCTGGGAGTATGAGGTCATTCCTTAACTCTACAGAAGTTAAACAGATTGTCTGACTTCTCCAGGATGGCAAATCTGAACATGCCGTAACAAGGAGATTTAAGTCTCCCAACACAATCTCCAGAAGATGGAGGAGATTTTAGGAGACAGACAGTTGCTCTAGATGGGCCACAGGGCTGTAGAAGGTCCTCAACCAACAGCAGGACCCATATCTGGTCCTTTGTGTGAGGATAAACAGGTTGAGAACTGCCCGTGCTCTACAGTTTGACCTCCAGCAGACTACTGGTGTAAATGTCTCTGTACAAACAATCACAAACAGATTTATGAGGGTGGCTTGAGGGCTTCACATCCTGTAGTGGGCCCTGTGCTCACCACCCAGCACCGTGGCGTTCCACTGGCATTTGATGACATCAGCATTGGCAAATCTGCCACTGGTGCCCTGTGCTTTTCACAGATGAGAGCAGGTTCGCCCTGAGCACTTGTGATAGACGTGAAAGAGTCTGGAGAAGACAAGACGAACACTATGTTGCCTGCAATCAGCATGAGCGGTTTAGTTGTGGGTCAGTGATGGTCTGGGGAGGCAGATCTCTGAAGGGATGCACAGACCTCTACCAGCTAGAAAACATTAGGTATCAGGATGAAATATCCTCAAACCCATTGTCAGACTCTACACTGGTGCAGTAGATCTTGGGTTCCTCCTGATGCATGACAATGCCTGGCCTCATGAAGGGATTGATATAGTTGAATGGCCCCCATGATCACCTGACTTAAACCCGATAGAACACCTTTAAGACATTATGTTTGGGTCCATCAGACGCCCCCAGGTTGCTCCTCAGACTCTACAGGAACTCATTGGTATCCTTACTTGGATTTGGGAGGACATCCCACAAGACACCATCCATCGTCTCATTAGGAGCCACAACTTTGTCAAACATGCACACACACAAGATAATGAGAAGCATTTTGAGTTGCAGAAATAAAATTTTGGCAAAATGGAGCCTGCCACATCATTGTTTCACCATTAAAAGAGGTGGCATCCTCTTGTTTCTAAAACATTGCCCTGTCCATATTTGTATAGATATCCAGCATTTTTTTTTTCATATTGAGATATGAGCAGTTTATTATAGTGTATTGCAAAAATATAAATGGTAACAATAAATTCTAAATAAGTAGCAAAAATATCAAGAGACTGGTGTCAAATAATTATATAAATGTATATGTATAAATGTCTCCAGTTCACTGCTGATGACATGAGCAGCTTTACGGATCAGTTTGTCAATCTGCCCAATGTCCCTTTTCCTGGTGCTGCTCCTCCAGCAGAACACAGAGAAGTACAGAGCACTGGCCACCACAGACTGGGAGAAGACCTCCAGTAACTTGCTGCACACACAGACCTGCACTTTCTCAGGAAGTAGAGTGTCCTCATGCTCTTCTTGTACACAGCATTACTTTTGTAACCAGTCCAGCCTATTGTTCACATGGATGCTGAGCTACTTGTAGCAGTCCACTATTTCCACCTCGTGGCCCTGGATGGTGACACTCTCCAGTAGTGTCTCTTCCTCCTGAAGTCAGTCACCAGTTCCTTGGTCTTGTCAATGTTCAGGAGCAGTTGATTTGCCTGGGACCACTCCACAAAGTTTGCAATCAGTGTCCTGTTCTCCAGCTCCTGACCATCTCTGATACACCCAACCACCGCGGAGCCATCAGAGGTGAAGAAAAAGTGCAGGATTTCAGCGAGCTTTACCTCCAACTTTCTCCTGTAGTCGTCTTGCCCTTGCCTGAGCTGGACCTTCAGCTGCCGCTGTACCCTTTTCACCTCGTCCTTGTTTCCAGAGTTGAAGGCCTGCTTCTTCTTATTGAGTAGATTTTTCACAGAAGTTAACGTAATCTGTTCTACAGTCCATCATGCTGTCGATGTCCTCCCCATGGGGCTGGTAGAGCACATCCTGTGGTCTCAAAGCAGTCCTGAAGTGCATGGCTGGCTTCTTCACTGCAGGGACAGGAGGCAATAACATAACTGGCCATTTAGAAAAATTACCATTGGAATTACTATTGGAAATTCACTAGTGCCAGAAATAGTGACCCATACATTATTTACACATTTTTCAAATTGGTGTCAGTTGATAGTTTATTAGTTAGTCTATACGTCTATTAGGTTTTTGTTTGTTTGTTTTGTTTTTCCAAGGCAACATATTTGAATCATTCACATTTACTATTTAGAGATAGATGCACAGTCAAAGAGGATGGAGGATGGGCCAGTAATGGAGGCCAAAGAGAGCAGCATGGATGAAGCGATAAGTAAGTGGACAAGTTTTTAAATATATATTATTTAAACAGTTTCCTCACTGTAAAGTTCTCATTGTAAAGTTTTGGTTGTAGACCTGAGCAGAACAAAGGTTGAAAACATCGTCCGCGTTGAGACCAGAGGGAAGACTCTGGAGGAACTGCTCAAAATCTTATCAGAGATTTACTTCAGGAAAGAATGTGGCGCGTTTGGTGAGTCTGAAACATAGACTGTAACGCCAACCAGCGTTTGGCTCCAGTCAAATGAAGTCAATCGAGGCTTGCAGTTACAGTGTCTACTTAGGAGCTGAGTTCCATATTTGGAGTCTCTGAAATAAACACTTAAAGGGGGGTATTATAAAAAATCTACTTTATGGAGCTTTATAATACGTTATAAACTTCCCTCATCAAAAACATGTCTGAAGAGGTTGTAGATGTCATCCATGCATGTTTGAGAAATCTAGCGATCTCTTCCAGGCACTAAACAAATTTTCAGTTTTTCTCCTTGGTTAGCAGTATGAGCAATATCACCCATGCTCCCACATGACAATTTTCCATAAATTAGTGCTGTCATGCGATTAAAAAAATTGAGAGATTAATTAATTATGATCTGTAATTAATTTATCTAATTAATCTCTTTTTAATCTCACCTAAAAATTGCTGAGAAAAGTCTTCAATTTGAGGTATTTTCATTTAAATTCATTATTACATTATTGTGGCAGATCAAAAGACTGATATAGAACAAAAAAAAAGTGACTTTATAAAGTCATTTATTGTTTAACAAATCTCTCCAAATTGTCTGTTGAGCCCAAGTCTCCATGAATAAGAAACTGTTTGCTGTAAAGTAGCAAAGACGAGGAAATCTGAACATAATAACTTTTGTCTACTTAAAGACAATAAAAAGTCCAGTCTTTCCTTAACCATATTAAAAATATTATTGATAGAGAAATGCTTTATATATGAGATCACTGGTTTTAGTCCTTGTTTTAGTCCTACTTTAGTCCTCGTTTAGTCCTGGAATGGTTTAGTCCTGGTTTAGTCCTGGTTTAGTCCTGGTTTAGACCTGGTTTAGTCCTGGTTTAGTCCTGGTTTAGTCCTGGACTGGGTTAGTCCCGGTTTTAGTCTTGGTGTTAGTTCTGGTTTAGGAGGAAGCGCGGTTTACGCAGCGTACGTGAGAAAACATACGCGGCGCACGGGAGCACGTCGGTGTCCACGCAGTAACTACGGAAAGAAACGCGGTCCGCGCGTTCTCAGGTTAATGACGATGATGAAGGTGTGTGTTTGTGTTTGTGTGTGTGTGTGTGTGTGTGTGTGTGTGTGTGTGTGTGTGTGTGTGTGTGTGTGTGTGTGTGTGTTTGTGTGTGTGTGTGTGTGTGTGTGTGTGTTGTGTGTGTGTGTGTGTGTGTGTGTGTGTGTGTGTGTGTGTGTGTGTGTGTGTGTGTGTGTGTGTGTGTGTTGTGTGTGTGTGTGTGTGTGTGTGTGTGTGTGTGTGTGTGTGTGTTTGTGTGTGTGTTTGTGTGTGTGTGTGTGTGTGTGTGTGTGTGTGTGTGTGTGTGTGTGTGTGTGTGTGTGTGTGTGTGTGTGTGTGTGTGTGTGTGTGTGTGTGTGTGTGTGTGTGTGTGTGTGTGTTTGTGTGTGTGTGTGTGTGTGTGTGTGTGTGTGTGTGTGTGTGTGTGTGTGTGTGTTGTGTGTGTGTGTGTTGTGTGTGTGTGTGTGTGTGTGTGTGTGTGTGTGTGTGTGTGTGTGTGTGTGTGTGTGTGTGTGTGTGTGTGTGTGTGTGTGTGTGTGTGTGTGTGTGTGTGTGTGTGTGTGTGTGTGTGTGTGTGTGTGTGTGTGTGTGTGTGTGTGTGTGTGTGTGTGTGTGTGTGTGTGTGTGTGTGTGTGTGTGTGTGTGTGTGTGTGTGTGTGTGTGTGTGTGTGTGTGTGTGTGTGTGTGTGTTGTGTGTGTGTGTGTGTGTGTGTGTGTGTGTGTGTGTGTGTGTGTGTGTGTGTGTGTGTGTGTGTGTGTGTGTGTGTGTGTGTGTGTGTGTGTGTGTGTGTGTGTGTGTGTGTGTGTGTGTGTGTGTGTGTGTGTGTGTGTGTGTGTGTGTGTGTGTGTGTGTGTGTGTGTGTGTGTGTGTGTGTGTGTGTGTGTGTGTGTGTGTGTGTGTGTGTGTGTGTGTGTTTGTGTGTGTGTGTGTGTGTGTGTGTATAGGACAGTAGTGCAGACATCATGAGTCTATGCAGGTTGTTTTCACCAGTGACATTTAAGTTGTAGGTGATTTTATATTTGTTATTTTCTTTTATATTTCACGTCGGGAGAAGAATTTCCAAGACACGAATGTGTTTTTACCTGTGCACTGCTGCTCTGTTCTACTGGCTCTTCGACTTCGTCCATTGTGTGACAGACACCGCCAACGTGAACATGACGTTTACATCGCTCTTACTGCGCTCGTTTTGTGTGGGTTTCCAGCAATGAGTGGAATTACCAAAATAAAAAAATTATAAATGTGTTTTGTGTGTGTGTGTGTTGTTGTCCCAACAACACATAAAAACAGATTTTATAATAAAGCAACTCGCATACAGAAACAGTAAAGTTAGAGATTAAAAATGAGATTAACACGATTAAAAAACATAACGCGTTAAATATGACTGTAATTAATTAATCGCAATTTAACGCGATAATTTGACACCCCTACCATAAATATACAAAAACATGAACTGTACATTTGACAAACCTGATGTGATGTGCAGGAGTTTCATTAGCATACTGATTGTAATGTGGTAGTGCTCTGAAGGGGAAATGATTTAGCACAG